AACAATCTCATGTTTTACAAAACCCTTCAGACTAATGATTGTATATTTCTTTTATACATTCAACACTTTGGGATAATGTTATAGTTCAACATAACCTTAACAGCTTTCAGTTATAATCTGTATACATCAGTTTGGTGTTTCTTGACAGGAAACTTATCCCATGGTTTCCCTTATTTGCAATAACTAGTATATGTCTGAGTCAAGCAGAAAAGATCAGATAAGTTGATGTTAGGGGAATGAACCCCAAGATAAGTATTCAAATGTTTTTTTTTGTTTCCCTTCATGCAATTGTTTCTAACATATTTATAAGATGATTTCTTTGTTGCTTTGTATGTCCCTCCCCCACGGTATAACCCATCCTTTCACTGTATTTGATGTTGGTATAATTTGTGGAGGGGAAGGGCAAAAACAATTTGTTTAACTAGGGATACAGGTGGACCCATTGCAACAATGAGATATACAAGTTGTTATGTCAAAAAACGAACTTAACAACTTTGGTGGGGGGTGGGGGAGGATTGGGTAGGGGAGGGGATGGAAGGGATGGGAAAGGGAAACAAAGAGGAGGTGACAATGCTTGATAAGAAATGTATCATTATCTTGTCCATGTAATTGTAACTCCTCTGTATGGTATTCTCACAATAAAAAAAAGAATTAAAAAAATGCAAGGGAAGGAGTAATGCAGTTCCATGCACAGCTCAAGTAAATATTCTAAAACCAACAAAAAGTTCCTTTCATCACAACATGCACTCTTAGTATAATAATTCAATCAATGAGTCAATAATATTTAAGCTGGCATGGATGCCTTGTTTTTGAACACTGGAACAGTATGTAACAATGAACCAGCAACCATCACAGATGGAGCCGTGATCCTGACAACTGAGATGTGATTTTGTAGAAATAAAAGCCCAGGTCACTAATCATCAAGAAAGCTCTTCACACCCACAACATATTTTGCCTTTAAAATTTTGTCTTTCATAAAACTTATTCTCATTTATTTCCCATTTCTTAATGCACCTTATCTCCCTTTTTACACTAATTATTCTTGGTTCCCAAGTCATCTGTCTACTTTACACCAAAACCAAGAAGAAAATTAGCCAGGAAGTTTGACATTCATGGTTTTTCTATGAATGTCTAGTATTCAAAAACCATGGCATGATGGTTTTAACACCAAAATCCTTTAATCTTAGAAATGTGAGAACTATTAGTGAATGCAGAGGCAAAAGATTGTCTACTTCCCACCTTGCCTTGATAACTTCACAGCAGAAGTGGGTAAGAGAAAATAATTCAGTTCAAAACCCCAAAATGAGAGCAAAAATGTCCTGTTGAAGAAAAGCTCATCATGTCTCAATTCATTACTAATATTTCGGTGTAGATATTTGCTGGTGTGATAAAGCATAACCAACATGTACTTCTGAGTGTGATTTCACCTCTGACACCAAGTAGAAGTGTACACATCAACTGAATTGATTAATTTATTGCTAGGTTTCAAAATCTTTGAATTCCATTAGTAACATAGTGTCTCCTCTTCCAGGTTGCTGTAAATATTACACAACATAGAATATGTAAACTTGTTTGGCAGCTAACAGACACTGAGTGAAAAATTTGCTCTTTTTCACTTTTCTCTCTCCTGCAAAAGATGCCTCAGTCAATTTAATCTTTTAGTTGCAGCCCTTAAAAGGGTTTTTTTTTTCTTTTGATTTTTTAATTCCAAGCCATTTTTAAAAAGTCATAATAACTCTGACTTCATAAAGGATATCAAAAAGAAGTAAAGTAGGAGTTACTCTTTGGATATTTATTCTAATAAGTAGATCAAGTTATTTGCTGTGAAATGAGTGATTAAGCACTGTTCAAGTCTGGACCCTAAACAGGTTTAAAAAAAAATTCTGACTTTTTAAGAAACTTTCTAAGGGCAAGATACTAATTAGGCTTTTAAATGTCCCCCAAATAATTAACAAGCAACACAAGGAAAGTGAAGCTAAACTATCTCAGTGGAAGAAAGGAACTTGCCCAAGTCATATTTGGCAAGAGCCAACCTAGAACTCCAATAGAAGATTTCTGACTTCAAAGTCTACTTTAATGCCCAGCTGGTGCTATCCAGAGGGAAGAGGAATGCTAGTACTTCTGAGTGCACTCTCAAGTCATTTACCATAGACTTTCTAAACAATCTGGAGAAATCTGGTCAAAGGGAAAGCCTGCACTTCTCATTCATGGCTCAAACTGGTGTAATCACTTTTCAAATACAAAGATCCGTCCCAGAAGAAAAATTACATGAGCACATTTGGTATATCATCTTTGGTTTCACATTTCCTTTTCTGCCTGTATCCAATTAAAAGGATTAATGGAAGTTTCCATTAGTTTCTGGTAGGGACAGGAGCAACACTATACTTTTTTGTGTATGACAGGTGTGCTGACAAAACTCTCATCTGGCTTTATGAACACCTCAAAGAACACAGTTGAGAGGTAGAAAACCTTGGTAGTAAATTACGCATCCTGCCTAATAATTCAGCCTAGGGACCATTTCATGAATAAATAATCATATAAATATTTATAGTGGGAGGGGGTGGATTAATGTAAAAGGAAACAAGATACAAATACAGCAAGAATAAGCAACACATATAATGTGATTAAGAAAGTCAGAAATGTGAAATGAGTCTGGGAGGAGAGAAGAGATGGGTTGGGAGAGAATAACAGAAATGAACAATAAAGAAGCACTGGACACTTAGATGGACATGTTAACCCCCTTATACAACTTTTTTTAAGTTCTGAAAAATTATAATTAAATTTAATTAATTAAAATAATAGCAAACAACAATTTTGTTAATAAATGTCTGGTAATAATTAAATTATATAATATTTATTATTAGTAAGTGTTAATTAAAATAGTATGTATAAATATAAATAAGCAACTCAAAAGGAATGTTAAGTAGTCATGTAAATCCAATAATTTCAATATTGGGATTTCCTTGAGGATACAGGGTGAATGGCTGCATGGATTTTATCTTCTTCTCTTGCAGGAACAACTCCTCATAGTTGTATTTCGTTGGGGGAGTATATTTAATTGATTCTAATAATACTGTCTGTCATAATTGCATGCTTATTCTCTTCAAAGCACTTTATAAATTATAAAATACCTAAGGCTCAATAGCTATGTGCAGGTGATAATAAAAATAATATTCTATGAAATGAACTCCAAGAGATAGAAACAAGAGAGAGTTAGTTGCAAATAAACAAATACATAAATAAATAAATACCTCAAGTCAATACATATCTTAGAATGTGCACTAGCCTATTATATCTCTCCAGTGCACATGTTTGCCTAAATCCTTAAATTTCCACTTTGTACCTCTTTGTTTTGCTTTTAAGCTTGGGTTTGATTCTAATGTGTATTGATTTTCCTTAGACCAGATGAAAGAAACTGTAAGCATGAAGTCCAAGATGCTCTATCTTGTCATCACTAGCTCTGATCGCTCAGTGCAGCCCTGTTGCCCACTCAGGGGACAGAGAAGAATAGGTTGTGCCACCAGCGTTTCTGGAGATTCATGTTAACTAGCCTCCCACAAACAGGACAACTCTTCATAGCATTTTATTTGTCTTTTACATTCATAAGCATTTATTTTTGCATCCAGTCACTATGTCTGTATTTTTTTTAATTTTTATTTTTTTTGGTTGCGGGACCTGAACTTGGCTTGGGCGCTGTCCCTTAGCTCTTCAGCTCAAGGCTAGCGCTCTACTACTTGAACCACAGTGCCAGTTCTGGCTTTTTTCTGCTTATGTGGTGCTGGGGAATCGAACCCAGGGCCTCATGCATGCAAGGCAAGCACTCTACCACTGAGTCACCTTCCCGGCCCTATATTTCTTTTACTGTAAATATGACAAGGTTTCCCCTCAGAATCCACAAGGAAAGTAGATACAATGTAAATGTGTTCATATTTGTGTTATACAATCCCCAGAATACTGCTGAATTTCTGGTCCATGGGGCTTTACTCAAAAAGTGTGGCCATGAATCAATTTTTACTTTAAGGGAAATTGACAAGTATCTAATTGCATAATTGTCATTTGATTGTCCAATATAACCCCTCATTCAACTATACCACTAAAGCAACTTTTCTTGAAGTCAAACCCTTGTCCAAAAGTCTCAGATGATAAACTGATGATAAAGTATTCCATGACAATCTTTCAAAGGTCAAGCTGAATACTGCTTTTATGAAAAATTTCTGATCTTGTCTTAGGTTTGGCAAGATTAATGTTAAAGTGTTAGGATGTATAGAAGAACATTCCTCATCCAGAAATTACTTTAATGTCTTTTGTGACTGTAAAATAGAAATATGCTGCCACAACATAACACAACATGCTCTTTTTATGCCCTCTGTCATCTCCCTGCTCAGTCTCTAACTCTCTCTTCATCTTTGTCTCTCTTTCTCTCCTTTCTCATGTTTTTCTTTTTTTCTTTCCATTTCCTTCCATTATTTAGTAGAGTTAACTATAAAGCCCGACTTTACCAGTAGATGACTCTTTTCTGAATTTCTTTCTCTAATTCAATGATTTAAATTATATAAAATAAGTATCTTCTTAGTTTCCTTCATTGAGCTTAAAATAACCAATTCAAAGTTTACCTAAGAGATTCTCATGCCAATAAAAATAGCAGTAAAATATGAGATAATTATATTTATCTGGTCTATACACCTGTTACTATATATACCTGGATCCCCTCATTTACCACATAAAATGGAGAACAATGTACACAATAGTCCATTGTAAACACTGCAGTTTGAGGTAATTTTAAAGCATTGAGCTGCTTATATTTATGTTCCCGAGTGATTCAATTCCTGATTAAATCACTAGCAAAAGATAGCTCAGACTTCATAGTCAGTAAGATATTGCTCGGAGAAAATAAAATAAAACACCTTCAGAGGACCATTACATCACATTGAAAACTGCAAGCACGGAACTTCTATCTTTCTCCAAATATTCGGTAAATGCAAGTAGTACGTCGTTCTCACCTGGGTCAGGTGGCATACAGGCACAGGAGAAGTGAGTATTATAGCCCACTTTAAAGTCGGAATTGATAGGGTAGTAATCTGCTAGCTTGATCATCTTCTTAAATGCATCATAGATAAAGATGAAGCTAATTAGAGAAGAGAAGCCCTCTTCTGTGAAACGAGTGAAGTACTGGACCAAGAAGCTGGCATCGGTGGCAACCAAAATGAGACACAGGAAGGCTGACCAGAGACCAATCCAAAGTCGGAACTCCAAGTAGTTAAAATTATGGTCCCTAGAAATGAGAAAGGTTGTGTTTAATCTACTCCTTCAAAAAACATAGAGAATGTAAAATTACCAAATGACTACAGAATTCTTGTTAAAAACACAAGATCACCTCTAGCTCCTGATGTAAAGCACAATTTTATTCAGAAAGTTTTAAGAATTTGATTTAGTGTATTATTATTTAGTGGAATTATTCTTGAAGTCCGAGAGAATTCCACATTAAATGCTTTATATACCATTTGTTTATGGATAGTTCATTAATACTTTTTCATCCAAGACATATGATCTTTACAATCATGGAATTTATACCATATGCAATTTTAAAGCATAACATTGGTACCTAGTATGCATTCAATAAATGTTTTAATTAGTTAATGAAGACATTAAGATCAGTATGTTCTGTTTCCAAGTCACCAGAATCCACTGAAGGAGATAAAATGATAAACACATGCATATTACAAAATACCAAGTGATAATGTCTTGAAAAAAGAGGTAACAAATCCTAAAAAGGAGGTAAAGTTGAAGGGGAGAAAAGAATCAAGGTATATAAACTTCCCAGATGATCTTAAGTAAGGGTCAAGCCTGGAAGATGAAAGAAGATAAAAAGGCATGTGGATCAGATGAGACATCAAGTACACTGTGGATAAAACACCATCAAGGGCAGACAGAAAAAGTATGGATGGTTACCAGTCTGTGTTACCTTCCCACAGTAAGACATGACACTCTCCATGGGTAGGGGGAGAAGGCTTACAATCTTACATCCTTTTTCTGAAAATGGGTATGAAGTAGCTTTGTGATCACCTTTTGTTGGCTGTACTTGTCCGTCAGCAAACATGGAACAGGCCACCATAACCAAATGAGCCTGTTTCCAATGCCCTTTCCATTTCTCATAGATTCACAACTAGGAAATGATGAGCTAAGGTTGATACTTTAAAATTTCATATTGATTCTCTTAAGTTGATGTGGAGAGCCCTTTGCAGTGATTTCTATTAACTTCTAAAATTTTCTGAGAGTAACAAAAGCAAATAGTAATAGTTCTTAACTAGGCACCAAACATCATGAATCCTTGAAGTTCTATAACCTTGCTTTTGGACATGGGATTTATTTTTCTGTTTCTGTTTTTATTTCATTTGGTGGTGCTGAAGCATGAACTCAGCTTGTACACTGGGTACTCTGCTTTTGCTTTTTCAAGGTAGTATCTGGCTTTAAGGCCAGATTGAACTGAACTAGAAAACTTCTACATGAGCTTCTAGGGATGACAGGACATACTACAATACTTAACCTACAGGTGCAGTAACAAGTGTGAGCCATTGTACCCAGCCAATGATCTCTACCTCCCAAGCAGCTAGAATTACAGGCTTGAGCCACCATGCCTGGCTTGGATATATGTTTTTGATAACTGCTAGCAAGTTGTTTATAACTTTTGTAAAGATATCATCTCTCCTGCCCCTACCATTAATCCAGCCTGAGCTATGAAGTCTTTGCCTGTTAAGAACCCCTGAATTGGTATCTTTTTTTTCTTTTTGTCAATTGTGGGGCTTGAACTCAGGGCCTAGGCTTTATCCCTGAACTTTTCTTTGCTCAAGGCTAGGGTTTACCACTCTGATTTACAGTGTCACCCCCGATTTACGAGTAGTTAATTGGAAATAAAAGTCTCACGGGGACTTTGCTGCTCAGGCTGGCTTTGAACTGTGATCCTCAGGTCTAAGGATCCTCAGGTTTGAATACCTAGAATTACAGGTCTGAGCCACTGGTACCTGGCTAGTATCCTTACTAGTAACTATGTTTGTTTTGCTCAGAGCCATTTTCCACACTGCAGCAAAATGGTATGTTAAAATGCTAATCAGTTTAAAGCCTTGTAATGACTACTGCTCTGAGAATAAAATTCAAATCCTCTATGCTCAGCAAAACCTTGCTGGATGAATGAATGAATGCCTGTTGCTTAAGACAATGACTGACCTTGGTCTATAACTAATTGATCCTGTACCAGATAAAAATGACAGAGTATTGGAGCTAAAAATTCCCTAGATAGTTTGATGGTTATTTTTGGTGTCAATCTGGCTGACAAGATACCCAGATATTTGGTCAAACGTCATTCTGGAAATTTCTATGAGGGTATTTTGGGGAGATTAGCATTTAAATTGGTGTGGTTGGAATAAAGCAGATCTCCTACACATGCAATGAACTTCATCTCATCAGACAAAGGTTAAACACAACAAAAAGTCTAACCTCTCCAGAAGCAAAAGAGAATTCTGCGGTCCACTATTGAACTTGATCTGCAACACTCCCTCTTTCTGGTCCTATAGCAGCCAGCCTCCAGGCTAAAAGTGAAACATTGGGTTTCCAGACTAGACTGCTCTGTGGGTTAATGGACTTGCCAACCTGTAAAATCATGTGAGCCAATCCTTTGTAACAAATTTCATTCTGTATATGCATCTCATTGGTTCTGTTTCTCTGGAACAACAGATATCTGATACAGATACCAATATGCCCACTATATAGTTGAGTCATTTACCCAAGTCATGGTTTGAATGGCAAAACTGGACAGAAACAAAAAATCTCTTGATTCTTAACTGGTTCTTTAAAAAATGACAGCATGGTTTCCTCACAGGATTTGCATTGGGCTCAAGGTGGTTTAATGTTAGTGTTTCTTGTTTCTTGGAATACACTGCCAAAACATACACCAGTATAAAGTTATCTTCTATAAATGTTTGGAGGCCTACAGAATACAGTTTTCCCATTGCTTTCCAGTTCCTTTTATGTCTATTACCCTACTGATTATTCCTCATCATGTCCTTGTGAGACAAGTATGCTACAAAACAAAGGCTGTGAACTAGGAATTAGAAATGATTCCTATTTTCATACAATGAGTCTAGGTCAAAGTCAGAGTTAAGAAAAAATCCTTATTACTTCTGAGCTAGCAGAATTTTAAAAGTTTTAAACAATCACCTAATCTTGCTTCCCTGATAAGATGAAAGATATAGCAATCTTGATTTTATTCTAAGATTGCCAGTGTAACAGAATTGATGTTTACAGGACAGGAAGACAAGTAAATCCATGAACTCATTAAAGGTTAGGATACCATCAATCTGGGCACCAAGGGGAAGAAGCATGTAAAAACTTACATCTTAGAACCTAAACACTATTCCAAAGTAGCTAAACTAAGAGACTTTCATGCTCCCTCAGTAGTTCAATGAAAATGATTTGAAATCACTAAAGCCAATAGAATTTCATTATAAAAGTTGTATGCTTAGAGCAGCAAGAAGGAAGAGAAATAAGATGAGAAACTTTTATACAAGGTGATTGAAGGAGTCCCACAAATCCATCTCAGGGAACCACACAGAGGCAGGCAGGCACAAGAGAAAGATTATTATAAGGTTTATTAGAGGAGCCATATTTTCCCCAAGAGGGAGCACATGGCCTCTGTCCCTATACAGGTAGCAGGAGGGTCTGAGGGATAGGAAGAGAAGTAGATGGGAGTTCAGGTGGGTCTGGGCAGAGAGAGGGAGGGGCCAGCTGTATGGGGGGAACTTCAGGAATGGAAGGGGGCCCAGGTGCAGGTGGAGCCGAGGACCAAAGATGAGCATAATACTAACAGTGATGAGCAGTAAGGACTAGCTGAACCTACAAAACAAGGACTTATCTGTATCTCTCAAGATGGTAAAATCTGGGCAAGATAAAGGTTGTTTACTAAAGAACCTCAAAGATTATTTAGGGTGCTGAAGTGCAAAATAGATGATCAAAAGGAAGATACAACAGAAAGCACATCCCAGGTTACTGGGACCATGAAAGGTTTCTTCCATGGATCATTTAATGGATGGAACACACTTTGGGAATTAGTGACCTATGAAATAGTTTGAATCCCAACAAAAAATTAACATTGCTTCTATAATGGAAGGAAATGAATAAATTCACAGCATCATGAACAAAATAATGCTGATTTACATTACTCAATGAGAAATTTAAAGCATGATTTCTCAAATGTTTTTCTTTGCCTTACAACTGTGTTCAAATAAAATTACTTGAAACAGAAGGGAAAGTGAGAAAAGAAATGGCTTAGTGAAAGGAAATTATCTCTATCCTACAATTATTTAAAACAAACATTTTCTGTAGATTGAGGCTGTGATCACATTTCATCCAATAAATCTTTCTGCAAAGGTTATGCATGTTTGTTCCTGTTTATAATACATGCTTGTTTAATCTTTCCACAAAGGCTTTCTTGTCTCACGAGATGTTTTCTTAAACATATAAAAACTGTTTGACTCTTTCTATAAACTGACATGACTAAGATTCCTTCCAATGTTCTGAGAATTAGAACAGAGGACGGATTTGTAACAATGACCTACAGAAAATTCCCAATATTATTACAATTCATATCTTTAAGCTCTCAGAAAACTCTTGCTGATGTTCTTAACATTCGTTGTTTTAAAGTTTTAAATCCTCATTCTTGCCTTTAACTTGTGATTGTTTCTGAGCACACAATGAGTTTTAACTCATAGATGAGTACTTAAGTCTATGAAGTATTTATTATAAGCACTATTCTGAAATTAAAGTTCTAAAACTGTACAATAATAAAATTATATGGAAACTTTGAATGCATGCTAAGATACCTATCTGCATAATTCACTTAATTCGGAATGTGTCTTTTTAAAATGATCTATCCAGTCTAAATAAAAATTGGTGTCATTATTGTCATGTCCACTGGCAGTGTCTTGCAATTCCTTAAGAGGTGGCATCTGGAGTCAGAAACCAGGAATTCAAATCCCAGACCCACCATGGACCAGAGATGTAACATTTAGTAATTTACTTACTCTTGGCCTACTTTCTCATCTGCAAAGTAGTACAGTCCCTATATCAGAAGGTTGCTATAAGAATTAAGTGAGTTAGGATATAAAAATGTACTTAGTATACTACTTGATACATAGTAGTATCTGTTATTATTCAGGGAGCCTTGGCAACTATCTTCAACAAAGAATGTTAGAACTGGCATTAGGAACTGTGAACCAAGTAAAGAGCAGCCAGTCTTTTTAATTAACAAACTATGTTTCAACAAGTCACTCTTGCTTAAGCCATTTCTTTACCCTAACAGTTCGGATCATTCATGGCAGGAAATGACATTCTGAAATGGGATTCTGAGGAAAACAAAATACACAGGCTAACTACAGAAGTACACCAAAGAATGGCAATGACCAAGCAACATGAAGAAGCCAATACTAACTTTAGATATGAGAAAGTCAAGGAAGAATGGAGTTACCAGAGCCTAGTAAGGGCCAGACACCTGACACAGGCTAAAGTCTGAGGGTCTAAGACTGCCAGACTGCTGTGCTAAAGCAGAAAATGGTGAGGAAAAAACAGACATACTGGGACCTTCCTCCCTGACCTGTCATGTTCCACAGAAAGCCCTAGGACGAAGGAAGCTGGGGGATTCCATCCTCAGGGATCAACCCCTCAGGCAAAGGCAGGACAATAAGGAAGACAGTAATTGGGAAAGGAGTAGGCACATAACACAACAGAAGAGCCTGGTAAGTACTGGACTGTGTAGTTGGTAATAAATTCTACCCTCTCAGTATTGAGACTAATTCTTGGATTTAGTGGATTGTTATTCTGTGCTTTATCTGGACTAAATGTTCTATAATCGGACAGTGCTAATGTATACATTTACATACATACTTGCTGAAATTAAATAGAAGCCTCTCAAAAACTAAGACAGGTCCTGTGCTGCTCAAAATAGTGAGTGGCTGACCAGCAAAAAGGCAAAACACAGCTCCAGAGACAGCGGTACCCAGGAAACTCTCCAACACACCCTAAAAGAAAGAGAAGTGAGATGGTAAATGAAACACATCTTTCCCATCTGTAAAGTCTGCAGGAAAATGAAGTAGCATGGGCATGTTATGATGAGGTCATTAGCAAACATACCAATAAAAATAGACTTAATATGAAGATTGTCACCATTTATTTTACCTTACATACATTTCAGTCATTCCCTAGTTCAGGGGCTGGATTCCTCTACAGAATTACAATGACTGCAACAACTGGTATATGGGGAGTAAAAGGTGTCTCTGATCCTTAAATATTATAGGAGGCTGTAAACCTGAAATCACTTTCTGTAATCCTACCAATTCGGTAAGATTGACCTTGTTTTTGTGCTTTATCTTCATCAACAACTTCAGTGTTTGTTTTAGCCTGGTTGCATCATGCACATAAAAGGCACTTTTGTGTATTTGTATGGTCTGGTATCAGGATTTGAACTTGGGTCTTTGTGTTCTTTCTCAGCTTTTTGTTCACAGCCTATGCTCTACCACTTGAGACATATCTCCATTCTGGCATTTGGGGTGGCTAACTGAAATTAACTCTCTTGAACTGGCTTTGAACTTTGGTCTCAGATCTCAGCCTTCTGAGTAGCTAGGCTTATATCTGGCGAACCATTGGTGCCTGACTTTATATATACGTATATAGATGCTACATTTTTATATAGCTTTAAATAGCTTTATTTTTTGTACGAAACCATTTTTCCTAGATAGAAGTTTTTGAAATGAGGAGGGAAGCAAAGGTGACAAAAAGATGATTTATACTCCATCTGTAATTTCTAAGACAGCAATTTAAAAAAATTCTCATTAATATTTATTGTCCAATACACAAAAGCGTCAATGAATTTTATCTCATAGGAAATAAATGTATAGTAACATGAATAGCAAAACTTTCATGGCCACATTTTCTACTTTTATCTCTAGAAATCAATGCATCCTTTTCCTTCAATATAATAGAAGCAAATAATCACCAAGTTTCACTGACTTAGAAAATCACCCAACCTTTCTTAAGCAATCACTTCATTCAGGTCCAACATTTTCCATAATGGCAAACTAGTATATTTTTTATATTCCCTCTTCTTTCAAATGTCAGAATGAAGTATATGTATTTGGAGGAAGGCATTTTATAAATTTAAAGTAGTATTTTATCAAAGAATGATTTCTAAATGTAAAGAGATGGCAGAAGCTCTTTTATATTTGTATATAGGTATATATCAATATAGGTATAGGCATAGATATAGGTATAGGTACAGGTATAGGTATAGGTATATACTGATGAAGGAAACCTTTTTTCCCAGTGAATAAATTCGGTAGCTTTGGAAGCTACAATATTTACTAATAATGATGGTGTTGAGCTAGGGAAGGGATCGAGCGCTGCCAAGTAATAAGCTGGCTTCTCTCACAGCAAATAAACCCACTCTCACACAATCCAGACAGCATCTCTCCATGCAAAAGTCTAGCAAGTGGGACTTTTAAGGGACAGATGTTAATGTACATGGATGTTTAGCTGAAGGGTGCCCTTTCATTATTTATATTCATGCTTTCTAGGGACAGAATCTGAAGAAGACGTGAGGACAGCAGAGCATGATGTTTTTACACAGAGAAGGCAGAAAGGGAGTCCCTGGTGCCCCACAAATAGCATTTGTCCTGATTTTGTGAATGTGCAAATACTGAGATTTAGAAGGGTCAAATGGTATGAATATGTAAAGTAACTCAAGGAACTGTTTGGAATAGATACTTGCCTAACCACTCTCATTCTTGGCCAATATAAAAAGTATGCTGTGGGCTAGCATTTTCCTAGACATACAGGTTTTCACTTCCTATGTATAGCTAGTAGGTTTTTCATGTCATTATAATTTATCTTCTTTCCCCAGGCCCCAGAGCTTACATGAGACTTAAGGACTTAGATGCTTTGTACAGCAGGATAAGCCACATTCTAGAGGCATATGATAGCAAAGACTCACTGTATCATTCTTCACTGAGTGCCCAGGAAGGCCTATTTCTCCTCATTAGTGCAGGATCGAAACATTGCTCAAAGTGAGTAGACGGGAGACTTTAAAGGAGGAGAAAGGGATGTGAGATTTAGGATCCTTCAGTTGACCCACCATAGCTGTTAATCTATGTGGGAGCATGAACAGGGTTTTCCTGTGTCTATTCTCTTCCTTCTCTCCTCCCATCCTGCTGTCCACCACTCCTTCACATGCTCAGCCCGTGCTCAGGAAATGCTACAGGACCTGAAGATGACATATCCAACTGACACCCTAGGTCTACTTATCAAAAGGTCAAGAGGCATTGCTGCCCATTCAGTAAAGATAGAAACCAATTTCTTCCAGAAAATGGCTTTGATTTATGGAAGCCATGTGACCATGCAGCAGCAGATTATTTTTATTTCAGTATTTGATCCTTGGGTAAGTGCTACAGTTTCCATTCTGTGGCTGACACGTTTGAAACAGAGACAGGTGATTTATTTATACACATTGCACTGGGTACTTGCTTACATTAAGAGACATGCTTTTAGCATTTCTGAGAAAAGAACTATTTTCACCGCCATTTTGACACATTTTTCTTGGCAACCCAGAAACGTAAATACATGTAATGCAAACTATGGGAGATCACTTTTCTGATTCATTATATTGTGTTTACAATGTTAAAAAAGAGGAAAACACAACATGGATGTGTGTACTCTTAATGGTCATAAATCATAAACACAGTTCTATACTTGATTTCTATACCTGAAAAGTCAGGTGTGGCAAGATCAAGAGCTACAGTTCTGGTCTCTCTGGTTGAGCGTTCATCTTATTCCATTTTACTCAGACTATGCCTACTATGGAATGGCAGAAAGAGCAAACAATCAGAAGTCAAGTAATCTCAAGTCTAGATTGCTGCCTCACTAGGTAGCTGGTGATCATAGGAATGTCCGCTTCACCTCTATCAACTTCAGTTTCTCCATGTAAGTTCAAAACAACAATCACAACCAAAAAAAAAAAAAGTGACATAGTAAAGCAACATACTCTAGAGTCAGATAATCCCAAGTTGATATGTAGACTCTAGCAATTCTCCCATCAAGGATTTTCAAGAAGTTATGTGATCTCCCTATGCCTGATAAAGTTGTTATGTACATTAGACTAGACAGTGTTTGAGAAGTGCTTAGTACACACTCTAATAAATCTAATCTTTTTTAACCAGAGCAGCAACATATACAGTGTATATATTTAAACATAAGATAAAAGTCTAGAAAGCCTAGAAGATCTTTAGTCCACAAAGAGATATCTTGGAGACTTGGCTACCTAAGTTTAAATCTCAGCTCTGCCTGCTGCTCCTCTAAATTCATATTCTCTTTATATAAAATCAATGCCTACCATATAGTATGATTATTTGGACTGAATAAAATCATAACCTATAAAAAATTAGGAATACAGCCCAGAAAAACCTATAATATTACACCAGTTTTCTTTCTTTTCTTATCATTGTCCTCTTCCAGTCTCTATAATTTCTTTCCTTTGAGAGAGGAAGATGATAGAAATTCTAAAAGAACAGTATGAAAAGATAGTCATCTGAGGAAAATATGTGCGTGGAGTGATCTTGTAATCTGTAGTATCTCCCAGAGCAAATGAAGTCAATGAAAGCCAATAAAAAGTGTCTTCTTTTGTTGAAATCATTGACAATAAACAAATTACTTTATCTTAGAAGAGTGACATTAAAACCACATGAAAAAAACCAAGCTAAGATTATTTTTTCTGCTTGTATAAGGGTATAAAATTAAAACAAAGATGGCTCCTGCTTTTCAAAGCAGCAAAGAAAATTAGGACAAGCCCTAAAATAGTAAAAACTCAAGCATAAAAGAAATCATGCCATAAAGGCATGACTAAAAATATCAAAATCTCATCATGATGTGTAATACTAGCATTTCGCATCTTTGAGCTACTCATGACAAGGGCACACCCAATTCAAAGCAAGCACATTCAAGAGAATAAAACATTAAAATTAAAAGTACATCTGTTAATTTCATTATAACTTTTCTTGTCTTTACATAATCCCATAGAATGACTTGGATTTTTTATTTGTTTGGGGTTGGTCATGGGGCTTGAACGTTGGGCCTGGGTGCTGTCCCTCAGTTCTTCAGCTCAAGGCAAGCACTTTACCACTTGAGCCACAGTGCCACTTTCGGTTTTCTGGTGGTTAATTGGAGATATGAGTCTCACAGATTTTCCTGCCTGAGCTGGCTTTGAACTCTGATCCTCAGATTTCAGCCTCCTAAGTAGCTAGCAGGTGTGAGTCACCAGCGCCAGGCTTTTCATGTACTTCTTATATAGGATCTTATTATTTGGATTAATAGTTGTACACTGTTTAGAGGGTTGGGTGAAATGATACAAAGGGGCCAGGAGCCAATACTAAGAAAACAAAAAGTTTCTATATCGGCTGGGAAGTTGGCTCAGTGGTAGAGCGCTTGCCTTGCATGCATGAGGCCCTGGGTTCAATTCCTCAGCACCACATAAGCAAAAAGAAAAAAGCCAAAAGTGGCGCTGTGGCTCAAGTGGAAGAGAGCTAGCCTTGAGCTGAAGAGCTGAGGGACAGCGCCCAGACCCAGAGTTCAGGCCCACAACAGGACCCCCCCCCAAAAAAAAAGTTTCTGTATCTTTGATAGTATACAAAACAGTAAGACTTGGAAAAGGAAATATTTCAGTGCATTAAATGATAAAAAGCATTTTCCAGTATCAGTGTGATACTTCAAGCATTTTTAAAGTTTCTTTTCGTTTTAGCCATTAAAAAGTAAAACCTAGCCCATATTTGTGATAATCTACATGAACTGTGTAACATGGTAATAATCTAAATTTTCTCTAGATAAATCTTTGAATGTAAGGTTTAGCCAAGAAAAATGAAGCAGCCTGATACCATTGGAAACAGGCAGTGAAATCTGAATTACCTGCAAGACTTTAAAATCAGATCCCCAGATAAACCCAAGCCACATCTTCAAAAGAAAGTAAAGAAATATAGTG